AACAAGTTGACAGAAGAGGCAGGGCAGCGAAGACAGGACTTCCTTCGGATGAAAGTAGAGAAGACACAGGTGATGAAGGTACCCAACCAACAACTGCAACAACAATAACAACAACAACAACAACAAGAAACACCAATCACCGTCAACGGAAGAAACCTAAAGAAAGTTGTCTCTTTCACCTACCTCTCTACCTGGACAGCATCGTTTCAACTACAGGCGGCACAGACACAGATGAGGATGTCAAATCAGCCAGGATCGGAAAAACAGCAAGACAGGCTTTCATTGATCTGAAATAATCAGTGTGGAGGTCTACTGCATTGTACTGGACTCCAATGCAGTGGACTGTACTGCACTCAGCATAAAGCGTGAACAATATCTGGATTTTCAACACTAGTTCAGTTGCATTTCCAACAAACTGTAGAGATACATCAACAGCTGTCGTGTACACTCACTCGATACTGAAGATGGATGGGGATTAGATGGGGAGAATAATAAGAATGAGGAAGAAGGAACTCTGGCTGACTGGCACCAAACTAGCCAAGAATGTATTACCCAAGAAATATGCAGAAGACGAAATTGGAGATGGATTGGATTGGATATACACTGAGAAGACCGATTGGGGACATCACACACCAGACTGGGTCCTGGAGTGGGACCCTTATGGGAAACGATGAGTTGGGCATCCCAGGTGAGAGTGTCATGGATGAGATGGTGTGAGTAAGAAATGAGAGGTGGTGGGTATTGGTGGAGTCAGATTAGGAGGACTGCAGAGGAGAGAGTGAAATGGGGAGTTGCTACAGAAGCCCTATGTTTGACTAGGAACCCAGAGGATAAATAATAATAATAATAATAATAATAATAATAATAATAATAATAATAATAATAATAGTAATAGTAATAGTAATGTAGGTCATAATAGTATTTTGTGAGAAACCCGAAACTAAATGAATATATGGTATTTTGATAAAACACTTGTTGCCTGATCTTAATGTTGTTCATAAAAAAGGATTTTAGAAGGTCATAACTGTTGACAACTATTAAGGGAGATTGAATGATCAATGAGGAGTAAATGCATTCTCGTTGGGTAGTTGTAAATGCCAACCAAATTCTGTCTATTATTTTACCATGTGGTCGTAAAGGTAGCACGCTCACCACTGCAATACACTTTCGCTGGTGTTAACTGGTAGTAGATAGTTAGTAGGAGGTTCTGGTATGATCTCTGACTTCAACACTGGATGGCACTGTTCCAAATTACAGATTTCTATCGATTTCCTTTAATCAAACAACACTGATTAAGTGGATATAACTAGAAAAGAGGAATGAGAACGATGTCAGTAATGGAAATTTGGATGTTGCTGATTCCAGTTTTGGTTCAATTCAGGTTTCTGTTTCACCTTTATTCATTATCCTGTTGAACAACAACCAGTCTGCACAATCACAGCTATATCAGGAAGTTTCATGAATAATAATGATAGTTTGTTGTATGGATGAGTAGTTTCCGAATTTCGACATGGGTTATTTAGATGACGATGGTGAAGAAAGTGGCTGTTGTACAAATTTACTACGAATGCAGAAGTTTAACCTCGCCTAGTTAACTAGTTCACTAGTTACTAGCCGTCCTAAACCTGGATAAGAACGGAAGATTGAGCGCAGAGCTAGCAACCGTACCCCGGAAAACCAATCCAATCGCTAAAGAAAAGCATAGAAAAAATATAAAAAAATAAAATTAAACTTATTCCTCACTGGAATCGGGGAGACGAAATGACATCGGTTAGTGAAAGCCTTCGGGAAGCAAAAGTAAGAAGCACAAGTTTAGCTTGTGGTGTTTGCTGCTCGTACAATAAGGAAATTGTAATACTCAATGTAAGATTACAAGAAATACAACAAACGACCGCAATTTGATGTGCAAATATGAAGCTTATCAACCAGTACTGTCTGTCATTTGGTCAATATGGAGGATAATGTTCGGAAGTAAATCGATGTAAAACTTCCAAATCAGTTACACTGAAACAACGAAAGTGGTAAATGTATATGGAAGAGAGTAAGTTACGCCACTTCCTTTCAGGTCATTGACATCAAATCGGTTGAACTAATAATAACCAACATTTCTTCATCATATGAATAAATTTCGCTTTTGAAGTTCTTGTTAGGTGTTGTACTATAGCCATACTGATAGCAACATTCAGAAACTTGTCACCTGATGCGAATATACTTTCGAAAAAAGGATGAACAATTAAATTTATCACAGTTAATCAAAAGACCTTCAACTTGAAGTTTTTAACTTCTCTCAAGTGGGCAACGGCTCATTGATTTAGGTAATTGACTTCCAACCAACGGGTTACTAGTTTGAACTCCGCTCCACCTACCAGGATCCAGACAGCTAAGCAATATCACTTCAGTTTGTTGTTTTTTCCGGATAAGAATGAATTAGTAAGGATTTCGATTTAAATCTTACAGAATCCCTAAAAATATGATGCTGTTTAGATTCTAGAAAGTAATCATCAAAAGTTCTGAACCTAAGTTTCGTCGTTGTCTGGACTTATTAAACTAAGGTTGATGCGGAACCATGAAGGAACTAATGTTTTCCAGGTGATTCGGATGTGGCATACCAGACTCAAACATGATCGGAACTGAACACTCACAAGTCAACTTCTATTGACCAAACCGTGCACATAACTGAGCTCGTAAGGTGGTTAGCTTGGGTGTGCATAGCTTTGTAGTTAAGTTTCTGGGTTTTACACTCAACTATAATGACATGATGACAGTATTAACATCTCAATTGATCGACGATTCTACACTCTGACATTCAGAAAAACTTATTCTTCATAGAAGTAAATCATTTTTAGAAGCTTTTCTATCTTCGAAATGTCCAGTAATTTATATTAAACTCTGTCATTCATATAATTTTCGTTTCTTAATTGTTTAGTTCACAGTAGTATAACATATGAAAAACAAACGACTGAGTACAGCAATAACATGGACTAATTTAAGTCTTCAGTGAATATTTTGTATGATAGACAGTAGGAGAATTGAAGAGGATTATACTCAAAATTTGATTGAGAATTGATTGAAATCACGAAATTATTGGCTTAGAAGTTAAATTGCCTAATTTACTTGTATGATATTGAGCTTTTACAGTAAAATCTTTTTAGATATACTGTAAACGAACTCACTCCTTAATTACCTTACTCGAGTTCAATGTTCAGTTAGATCTCCTCAGATTTTACTGTGAGATAGACGATTTTCACTTCCAGATAGAAATACTAACTCATTCATGGTGAATTTTGTAGGCTGTAGTAGCAAGGTAGTGAAGTGTGTAAATAGTAACTATCACGGTATTAACAATAATGATAATGATATCGGTAATCATTTTTAGTGGTCATAAAAATAACATAAGCATTTTGGTTGTGTTGTAATCCCCTAGGTTGAATGAGGCGCTCGTTGTCTTTCTAGACGGTACCATTAGCACTAGGGAAAAAACTGAAGATCTTGTACAAAAACACACAAAGAACATGGAAAAATTCCTAGAAGTTTAACATTTCGGTCAGCCAGGAATCAATAGATGCTAAGCACTACTAAGTAGTCTCATAGAAAGAGGAAACAGCTGTTAACCCCTCCCAGGTTTCTGATATCTATCCAACTTACCACAGTCGTTGGCGATTACTAACTTGAAATCGATTAATCTCCAGAAACACCTAAACTCAATTACTGTCCACTGCTCATGGGTGAGTGACTTGCTTCCAGATGAGATTTTTGCAGGTTGTGGTGAGAAGTCATGACTTATGGGGCAAACCAAGTTAGACGTAAAAACAAATACTCAACAGTGGCATTGAATTAAGACCCAATGTTATAACAGATTGACAGAATTAAGGGAATAAGGACCATTGGATTCCTACCCAATGGATAAATGTTTACGTGTTCGACGCAGCTCCTGAAGCTTATGAGCTTGATACATGGCAGGACCATGAATGCGGACTGCTGAGAATCTCTTTACTAGTACTGCTGCCAATTTCAGTTAGTGATGAATACCACTTTGAAATGATTATGCAGATATAGACTTAATCTATCAACCAGTCAGAAAAATGATAAGCAACCACAAAGTCAGAGGCATGGTTGAGAAATATGTACACTCAACAAATGATGTAACAACCAATGAATCTACCAACCACATACTGCTTCATCAAGGCCAAGATACTGAGTCACTCACGGAGAAAAACTCACAGCTCATTCTTGAAACTGAAGATAGTGCTGATGATGTTGTCTAGAAAAACAATGAAAGCTTTAGGATTAAACCATCCAGCTGGGAGAATGCATTACAGTCAAGATCATCCGCTTGAGCTATAAACTTTCTCCATCATTTCATAATGAGAACAGCATGATATTGTAGACATCCAAACAGTCGATTTAGGTCTAAACTTGGGAAAATATTAATTTAGGAATTCAGTGAAATCGCCGTCCAGTATTTTGATCACTCTTATTTAACTAGCAAAAACTACTGATCAGACTGAGAAGTCTGTAACTAACTATGTTTTTAGAGGTAAATACTCTCAGTATTTTGTTAAATTCACAAATAACACATCATCATCACAGTGAAGGCTATCATAACAAAGTAATTGCTAGATAATCAAGTAATATTTATAAATTCCTGAGAATACTTCAAAGTAGATTAAGAAGAACGCAAAATGTTTTAAAGAAACAGAATACCTATCAAAGAAAGTTATTAGACTTTATTAAGAAATCTAAGGATGAACCGAAATAGTACAGTAACGTTAATGGGATTAAGACAAAACAGCCTAACACACACATTTGAATTTTGATTGGTCGATACAGTTAACCAATAAGACAGTAGATGATTATTACATGAAAAATCCGAAATTTGACACAAAAAATGTATCTATCTATATGAAAGTTATTCTATAGACAAATATTTTAACGGAACAAAAAGATAATTTACGAAAATAATTTTTATTTCTGCTAAAATTGTTGTGTCATCTACGAAAATGAAATGTTTCTCTAGTGTATTTTCACAAAGTTCTCTAGTCCCTTTAGCTAAGATAGCCAATGCTCCATCACGTTCATTACGTCTACTATGGGCTATTGTAACAGCCATTATGTTTATTGGATTATGCGTTTGTATCAGTCTAGTGGTTATGCAATATTTAAAACATCAAACAGTATTTCAATTAGATTATTCTGGTAGACATACAGTCTATGATCAAGTCCCTGGGATAACAATTTGTCCTCAATCACAAGAATCAAAACGTTTATTCAATGATGCAATGAAACGATTGAATATTACTTCTCAACCGTTACCATTACCATGGTTTAGTAAGTCTATTATGGATAGTTTTCGTGCAAAAGCATTAGAAATTCAACCTGATTTAAAATTTGGTGTGATTGTACATCGTCTGCCAAAGGTGAATTATTGTGGAATACATCAAAAACAGCAATTTCACCAATTTATAGAATGTTGTTAAATTTCAGTGTAGAATTTCAAATACAACCATCATATTTATCTGATAGTTATCGATTAACAGTTATGGAACAAGTAAGTTCATTATCGCATATCCGCCTCTTTTTATTTATTAAAAATTCAATTTTCACTAATTTTCTTCATTGTTACAATTTGTGACTGTAGCCTGATGGTAAAAAAGTTTGGCAATTGAAGCCATGTGTTCTGGAATCAAGTTTTCTTGGGAAAACTGATAATGACTGGAAAGCTATTATATCCATCTGAAGAGTCCTGACTAGGACGGAACTCAGGTTTTGATGACATCAAGACTCACTATGAAACATAATATACAGGCAATCATGCAACTAGCCTGTAGACCACCAAATACCGAGAAAAATCAAACTTTGTATACCGACTTTCACTTTATGGGATTTTTTTAGAGGTACTGAAAACTAGAGAGAGATTAAAAGTTCCTTCTTTAACATTCAAATATTTCTTGGCGTTGGAACTAATCTTTCTCAAGTATCATCGAATGTAAATTGATTATCTATCCATTGGATTGGTAACTGATAGTCATTCGCGTAAAACCAGTTAAAATCATTCACTCACCTCTTAATTCCCGTCTCTCTGTCTCTGTATTTTGTATCGATAATAACCGAAGTTGAGGTGAAAATGGTATTTGAAAATCATGAAAATCAGTAGACAGTACTTTCAAAGGTATTTTTATCCCCGATTGAAAGATACTACGGTAAAATTTGAAAAAAAATAGCTGCTAGTGGAATATTTTATGGTGTATTGTACATCAGTGTCTAATGGGTTGAAATGGGAATTAATACTGTGATGCTGGTTAGGAATTATAATGAATTACTGAATATAAATCCATGGGTATGTATAATGTCTTCAGGATGGTAAGACTGAAATAATTATTAGTGCTAGTAATCCTTAGTAATGATGGATAGTAGCTAGCAGTATAATCCAGGATGTGCACTTTGTCCTATTTGGAACGCATCAGCTGGATGTACCTGCCTCCAAGCGCGTGATGTTGTCCCCGTCGGGATTCGGACTCAGGAGCGATCGCTTTAAACGCTAGAGCGTTATCCACTACACCACAAAGCCACGATAGCCACTTCTGGTGCGACGCGTATAGTTTTAGTATAATTACTCGTATTATACCGTCGTTGATTGGACCCAACTGATCGGTCTCTATTGGCAATGGGCTCCTGTGAGGATGCCTCGTTATTACCAGTGTTCTAATTATAGTAATGATGGACCCATATGTCAATAAATACCGATCAATTTGGTTCAGTCAACGATGGTATAATATAAGCAATTATACTAGTAATCCCTAACCTAGACCAATTCTCAGTGTCGTTTAAGTTCCAGATTGGAATTCATCATGGCTTATTATCAGCTGGAGGGACATTAGAAAAATGAGGGCACTAGACACCTGTTTCGTTCTAGTTTGGAACTCCTCAGTAGTGCGCACCCATGACTCCATCCCGCCAGGGGTCGAACCCGCGACCTTCAGGTCCCGTGGCTAACACGTTACCATTAACCCACGGGGTCAGAATCCAGTGGTCCATATTTCCTACTTCTGTCAGTTCATGACATAGTGCGACCTACATCCAATGTCGTCTTTGAGTAACTGTCCTCATGTTCGACTTGATTGACTCCTCTGGTCACTACTTATTGGGGCTTTGGGAATCACCAATGATTGATTGACAGATAATGACGTTTTTTATCAATTAATATACACACTAACTAGAGTTAAATGTGACTTCAGACCTTCTAAAAGTAGTAGTACCGTGAACATATTTGTTGGTTGAAGTATCTCCTCCTTTTTTAAACAGGTTAATTTGTGTTTCTATGTCTCAGATGAGACACAGATTTCATTGCAAACAAACATTTGACACAGACTTATCCATTCATTCCTTGCATCATAGTGACATAGAAATGACGAGAATTTGAGTTTATATATATATATATATATATATATATATATATATATATATATATATATATATATATATATATATATATGGTTTTATGAGGCTCTACTTTTAAATACATGAACTGGAAAATTGAAAAATTTATCTTTACATTTTTAACTGATTTCCCCAGTAAACGTGTATAACCATTTTCTTTCACAGGATTTCGCATAATTAAAGAATAATTAAAAGGATAACAGGTATCGAAATCAATGTAAGTATGAGATTTGAGCACTATGGTAGAGTGTAATTCCATTATAGATTTGTCTGTTTAGTATGTAGAACACATAGTGAAATAGTATTATTTACCGGCTGATCATATCAAAGTAATCATGCAACTTTCTGGTCAAGTTTTTCATTCTTTAATTGAATTAGTGATGAAATTTTTCATACATCCGAAACTTAATGTTGCATCATTTCGATTACACATATTATAGGCGTTAGATTGATGAACCGAGATTCAGTGATCATCCTCTCTCTCCACACTGTCGCATGCATAGATATGGTTGAATTATTGTCTAGCTTACTTACCTAAGTAGGGTCTATCAACCTAGACTCAATTAGCTCCCTATGCTCCTCTAATCTGACAGATCACTTTCGGTAACTAAATAATACTATGTCACACTGTTTACTATATCAACTAAACTAATCTAATGTGGAGTTATACACTACTTCATTGCCCAAATTCTATACTTACATTAAAGTGTTTAGCATTCCTCAAATTTGCTTCACTGGTTCAGTTTATTGGCTGACAACATTTATTTATGATTGAAAAACGGGTGTTCTGAAATAAATAAATTTCTATCGACAATTTATACTGGTATTCTTCCGCTTATTTACTAATTCTCTGTGAACTTCCTACATACTTTAATCATGCAATGAAGATTAATGACACTTTCAAGATCATCATGAGATGAAAATCTTTTTTGACAAGAATAAAAATTCACACAACTTTATTCGATTATTTGACTGTTGATGTGAGCCGTTTGAGATGTAGACTTATCAGTTGTTATCCTTGAGACGATAGAAATCAAAAGTTAGAAAGCTCTAGTTGACAGTGGAGTACACACATTCACTCCTCACCTGGACATTTTCACTCACCTTGATGTCTTAAAATCCTATTCATGTCATACACTTCTGTCTACTTTGATGTCACAACTTCTGTATACTTCGCTGCTAGTTGATATTCATATAGACAGATATGAAGAGGGCAACCACTCTGTAGAATCTACTGTTTTTCACAGCTCCTACAGATTGTTTAGTAAATAACATTTGCTTTGTCTTCCTTTACCATTGTATCTTTCTACATGTATAACACAGACTGAAAACCTTTCCTCAGCTTCTGAGATACACAGATTTCAAAAGGCTTCAATAATCTAGTCATCATCTCAGAGACATTCTTCATGTACAATAAGACAATCCGTTTGTTACTTTTCCAGATTGACTGATGACGGATTATGTAAACACCTTTCGATGAGGTTGTTTGCATAGGCGTTCTTTTGAGAAACAGTCATCAAATAGTTTTCTTGTTTTCTCCGTAGGGTTGATGTCTTACAATGTGTTTTCGCTTTTACACAACTGATATTGTGTACTGTTGGGTTGTTGCAATAGAAGTCGATTGATATGAGTTAGTTTCTGTATATTTCAGTTTCCAATTTTCTGAATCCGATCTAGCGATAAGATGATCTAGAAGTGGAAGTCTTTTATTTGATTCCTGTTCATTTGTCAGTTTGATATCGTCGAAAATGCTGTTGATTAATTTGTAAGCTATTTTCAGTTTCTTTTCATGATGGCAAACGTGTCATCTACATATCTGATCCAAAATTTTGATATGATCAATGGCAATATAACAGTTTCCAATCTCTGTTTTACTGTTTCTACAACTAGTCTTGATATAGACGATCTCATTGATGTTCCCTTTGTCTATTCGTAGAGTTTGTCTTTGAAGTGAAAATATGTTGTATGCTACCTTCAGATGTGTGACCAATAGAACAGTGCCACTATGGTACAATGTAATTCTGTATCAGATCATCCTGTTTAGCATAGCACACAGTGATGTTATATTATTTATCGGATAGATATCACAATTATCAATTACATTTGCATTAAAATTATAAAATCATTACATGTCGTGCAGAGGAAATGAAACACGTGAAAATTAAAACCTGTAAGCCAAAAATTAAAAGAATAAATTGATAAAGAAGTTAAAAAAAATGTTCTTTTTAGGAACCATTCTATAACTGAATTACTATTACGATTTGAAATCCCAACTCAGTGGATGACTTCATAGAAATCCTATGAAGTAAATTTTAACCACAAATTATTTGAGTATACAGTAGACTGTCAATATATATATTCAAGTAGATGTGATCATATTCAATGTTTTTGTGTTTCTTAGTGTGGATATATTACAAATTTACAGGTGGTATATTATGATGAGAAATGAGAAATGCTTGGATTATAGTCCTTTTATTACCCTATACGAAAAAGTTATATCAAGTAGAATTTACTGCTATATCGTATTTCTTGAGTCAGTGATGTCTTGGTTCTGCCTTCTTTAGTCTGAGGAATTTGTTTTCTTATTGTTGAACATAACACCAAGGACCATTGTGATATTTAATACATATTATTCCAATTTGATCGAAGATTTTTTTTCCTTAGCTCAGTAAAACATATTTTAACTAAGAATTTGTGCTTCTTGTCAACTACTTTGTTGATGACCATAATAAATGGTCATAGAGAAATTAAGGTAGAATTATAGTGTTGATGACTTCGATTGAATATAATAACTTTTAGTGTGTTCTGTAAATGGTAATTAGGAAGGAGTAACCGGTGTTTCTGTGTGGTCCTAACTGATCAGCACCGCTACATCTGTCTATGACTGAATCATGTACATGATTCAGTCTTGCAGGGTGTTAATTGTGGCATGAATGGCTAACTGATGAAGTCCACGAATCTTGATTCCAGATCCAACCTGGTGATGAGTGTTAAAAACCACGAAATCTAGGCTAAACAGTCTCTTTTGCCAGTGGATTCCTTTTGAGTTCATTTTCTCCACGTTGTCTTTCACTAATGAATTTATTTGCCTTTGTTAAATCATCGATAAAC